TGCCATATACTAGAGATGTGGGAGACGCTAGAACTTACATATCTTCCTCTCAAAGAGAGTAGCAGGTCTAATGCATAACAGGTTTGGCAGTGCTCAGTTGAATATTAACATGCCTATATCTAAATGTGACAAAGTCAGACATTTGGCTCCAGTATAATTGAATTCCTCTATTAGGAGTGCCATAGATAGACGTCTCTTTTGGACAGGGAGAAATCTGCCCACCCTTACTAGAATAACTGTGCTTCTGAGACCCACCACAGCCTAGTGTCCAACATGGGCAATATCAGCATAAAGGTTCTAAATTACCTGAGCTGTAATCTTCTAGTACACATGAGGAACAGATTGGTTATAATGTTGGTGGAAAGCCTATTCATGCAAATAATTGCAAGGACATGACTATTTACAGAGTAGTATGCTTGAGTATGTTCAAAAGTCAAATACCCATGAGTCTGATCTATGACTGAATGCAGCAACACCAGCTTTCCACGACATAGATCTGCTTCTGGGGGTAGATAATAATGGGTTAAAAAGAACTATTTGGGTTGTTTTAGTTGTGTTGAGTTTATAAGTGATTTAAGGCAAGCCTGACAACTCACTTTATGACTAAATGTTCTGTTTGCTATATGTTTGCTCCATTACACATATCCAGAGGCTGTCAGTTGAGGTTGGATTGAAGGGCTATTGCCAATAAAATCTAAAGACCAGTGTTTTTCACAATCAACATCCTGACCTTAATCTGGAACCTTGAAATGATATCCTGCCAACAGCTGGTAGCAGTGCCAGCAAGGAAGTGTCACCTTGCCCCCTGGTACGCACAAGTGATATTTTTGCAGAGCGGTATCCATGACCTTTTCATCAGTTAACGCTTTTGTCAATTAAATGTAGCCTTGGAAATAATTGTTGTTCTCTGAAGTCCACTTGTGTTATAGTTCTTTGTTTTGAAATGTTATTTGGCATGGTTCATGTAATGCACACTGCTATACTCTATTGATAGATAGACTTAAAGTACCGCTGATCAAAATACATCAAGCACCTGTCAGCCTGAGAGCGCTTTTATCGCAGGAAAGCTTTGTTTTGTGACAGGAAAAAACAAGAGCCAAACAAAAATGTTAATAATAAGAATATACAATGTATCATGCAATATGGAAGTATTACTGGCTTATTCAATAAAACATTGTCAAGATAAATGAGAAAATGTAGTGAAACACATCAGTCAGGAATGATCTATTATCTGATTTGACTAGGTTAGTAAGTCCATTTGTGAAAATGTCTAAAATAATTCTAACCTTAACCCCTAACATCATCCTGCCTTGTAACCCTAAACCTAACCCTCCCTGAAATGCCAAACTTCATTCTAACACTCCCTTTAATGCCAGCCAAAAAAACGGTTATATTAATAGTGGACCCTTCGCATTACCAGGCAGTTGTAGGCCCTAACAGCATATTCACAGAGTCTAAGGAGCTGTCCAGTTTTCGCCAGAGCACCATGCATGGAGTGATGTATTGTGCTATGGAAGTAATGTGCATATATATCCCCTGCACTCCTTACAGCATCTGGGGCCGATAATAGACGTGGTGCTCGCAGCGATAATCGCTGATGGCGCTGTGCATGTCAAACTTGAGAAAGTAGAGGATCACCAGCACTCAAAACAAATTGTTAAATGTTTCTGTTCATTTATTGAAACGCAGCATCACATACATCCAATAGCCAACATTTCGGGGCCATACAGGGTCCCTTCATCAGGGTGACATATTTTTCTATGGAAGGGCTCCCAGGTTGCGGCATTCGGATACACTCAGACTGGCAACTGCTGGCATAAATGAGATAAAGCACAGAATCATTGAGGTCAAAGACAAGCAAGAAGTTAGTGCAGGCTGCAAACAGGGATTGTACAAACAGAGTGGGCAGCAGGCAACTGGAATCAGAAAACCTGAACAGGAAATCAGGAGTGAGGTTATGGGAATGGTAGTACTTCCTTATAAAGTACTTAAGGCAATCCTCCATAAGTATGCCTAGAGATTTCAAATTGGTTGAGGACTAATGAAATCCAATGAATGGCATGGGAGCGCACCTGTGGAACAATCAAAGGTAGTATAAACTTAAACTATTAGATATTGCACAATGTAGAACACCCGAGAGCGTTACTTGTGAATTCAAGGTGAGGCTGCAACAGGATTTGGGAGGCAAAAGGAGCCATGCCTCTAACCCTCCTTATAACCCTAAAGCTAGCAATAGACCTTACAACCATCGTAAGACTTTTGTCTTGCAATGGTTGTAAGGTAATTAAAAAAAGTACGATCAGGCCATTTTGGACAGGCAGATCGTACTTGCGATCATCGCAAGCCCGCCCCCTGAGGGGTGGGCTTCCGATGACTGCAATGCTGAACGGGCATTTGTCTTACGAGCATGCCACAAACCCGCCGACAATCGTACGATTCTCGGCGGGTTTTCGAACATGCTTGTAAGACAAAAGTCGTGCGACCTTACAGTAGCAGAGGTTGCACGCCTTCGTACGATAATCGCAAGGTGTATTGGGCACCTTTACACTAATCCTCTCTGTAACTCCAACCACAACACTAACCCTCCATGTATCCCTAACACTAACCCTCTCGGTAACCCTAACACTAACCCTTCCTATAACCCTAACACTAATCCTCTCTGTAACTCCAACCACAACACTAACCCTCCATGTATCCTTAACACTAACCCTCTCTGTAACTCTAACACTAATCCTCTCTGTAACTCCAAACACACCACTAATCCTCCATATAACCGTAACACTAACCCTCTCAGTAACCCTAAAACTAACCCTTCCCATAACACTAACTTTTAAGCAGTAAGCCTAACGCTCATATAAGCATAACCCCCTTCCTGTGCCAAAAGATACAATCACCAAGTTCCTACCATTGGAGATTACTAATCTGGTTTCCCACCCCCCTGCTATTCTTTATATGGGTAATAATATAATTGCCTAATGTGGTAAATGTGTTATTGGGGATTTTTTGAGAAATAGTATAAAATGTATTTAAGAGACTGTTTATTTTCCAATCTAGTTTTATTCATACAACCTGTTCACCTTATGTGCATCATGTTCCTGATCAAAGTTCTCTGCAAAAGAAGTAAGATGTCATCAGCTGTTAGTATGATGGCTGTAAACTCTTATCGGGTTTTTAATTATCCAAATGGCAATTACACGCAGTGTAACTTTCCTGGGTCTAGCCACAGACCATGGCCTAATCCAGCTATCTAGGCTGGCCAAGGCTGCATTCTGATTGTGAACATTTCAACTCATTCCTCAAGGAAGTGGAAAATTTCAGCAGGTACTACAATTTTCATAGCATGTTAGAGCTTCAGTAGTCAGATTATTTCGGTTTGCTGCCATAAATAATCTCAGGGAGTCAGTGCTGTCAGAGTAAGGACCAGCATGGGACCCTTTTGGTGCCAATAAATAACTTAATGAATAAATTAATTAATTTAAACTGCAAGGAAGATTTGGCATAAGAGTTAAGGTTAAATTTCAGGGGTTAGGAGTCAAACTTATATTTAATTTTTTGATACACTGGGGAAGGATGAGAACTTCTTTCAGGTTTTTTTTGGTGCCTGGTTCTCCATTGGAGGGACTTTTTCCCAACGTTCTTTCTCCTGTAACCACTGCCACCATGGATAACATAGGAAGAATCCCTCTAATAGTACATAGAGAGCAGTAACACCTGACAGAAAATGTAACTCTACCACATACCTTTGCCTGATAACTTTTCTGTATCCAACACTTTTGGGAATGGGAATGAACACTATTTAGAATAAGCAGAGATGTTGTGCAGTGCTTTGTGGAAATGACATTGATTGTGACAGCATGGAGCCTGCTTGCTCTCGATAGATCTATATATATATACACAGTATATATTGTGGCAGTGTAAGCCAATGCCACGGTGTAGGATGGCGACTTTGGCACCCAGGACTCTCACTTCACCATGAACAGAGTCATATTCAGTCTCTTTCTTGACTGTATTACCAGTCCCAGCAAACATAACATTGAAGACAGTCTTACCCACCACTGGAGTATACGTAGCCATCTTCCTTTGAGAGCGCTGATGTAGAGACTCCTTAATTTGCTTTTCACCTGCCATTCCACCCATATGAACATCAGGTGAAACAACAGCAGGCAGTTTATGCTCCTTAGCACCCCCTGCCGGCACAACAGGAAACTTTCCACTGTTGCCTGGGGTGATTGCAAACACATTTTCTTCAGAGCCTGATCTTGCAGGCTCCCTCTTATGCCCATCAGGATCTCCCGGGGTACCCCACAGCTCAGGGCATGTCACACACCCATGACCCCATCGGCCACATGCTGCACACGGTACTGCACGATCACATGCGTTTCCCTCCTGGGAATCCTTGGCAGATTGAAACACACCCACAGGTTGAACAAAACGCTGCGCTGCATCTCCACTGCTGCTTTTCACTCCTGGTGGCAACCTTCTCCTGGTTGCTATGGGAGATGGCACTCTCCTGTTGACCACTCTCTGGTTCTCCTGGCTGTACCGGATCTTCTCTCCAGGCATCGTTGCTCGGCTCCATTCCTCTGCAGGCGACCTCCATGGCATGCGGTCAGCAATCCTGCGTTCAACACCGTTGCCATCGACAACTGCGCCCCTGCTGAGCCTCTGTTCAGCCCCTCGCTCTCTCCAGGCATTCAGAGCGGGCTTCTCTATAATAGCTGGGGTCAATGCAACCAGATGCTGCTTGCGCCAATCCATGGCAGACGCACAACCTCGCACTCTCCATTCCTACACCGTGGCATTGGCTTACACTGCCACAATATATATATAGATATATAGATAGATCTATATATATATTTGTAACAATGACCCAGAAAGGGGAGTTGTAAAGATGGAATAAAACAATATAGACCAGCATGTACAGACTGAAAATTGCCATATTAAAACAGTAACAATGCTATACCATACACTGTATCTGATATAAGTCTCTTATCTCTTAGGTGATGATGGAATTTGTGCTGATGCAGAAGAGGACATCCTGACCTTATTGTACGATCCCTGTCTTAACTGTTATTTTGATCCAGAAAGTGGAAAATATTATGAATTAGCTTAAAATGTAATGATTGCAACAGCAACAAAAAGGCTACTGTTTGTTTAAGGTTCACTCCACTTCAAAAATATAAAAATGAAAAAAATAATATAGCATATATAATTGTCACACCAGCCATTTTGTAATTTAATGTTATTAAAAATTATCTTTCCATTTAAAACTGTAGCTGCTGTAATGTTATAAATCTGTCCAAAAGATTAAATGCAATATGGTAACCTGAAGGCGTTCTGTACACAGTTGGTGAACTCTAGAAATGTTACTTCCTGCTTCTGTGATTGGCTAACTGATTTTCCCAGAAGTCTGCACAAAGATAAAAGTATAATTGTTGCCATCCCTTGCAATAGGAATGTCATTTTTGGTAGATACTCCCTAAGGGTTAATTACAAGTAAAGGGATGCCCACACTGCACCTTTCCTCATTACAACACAGGAAGTTATAACGAACCCAGACACTTCCATTCAGTGATCCCTTTGGAAAGGACGTGCTGCAACAAACAGCCTTTTCTTCAGAACAGAAACAGGAAACTACAGCAAAGTTTGTTAAAACCCTTGTAATGTACATTGATCATCCAGAATTGATTTTTTTTCTCAACAAAAGTGGGATTACTCTTTAAAAAGATCCTGAAATCCTATTTGAAGGCATTGGTGGATAAGATGTTTATCCACCCCCATCTCATCATTTAAAGAAAAGATTAACTTTGGAAGCTCTGCCCTAAAGGCAGAAATGGTGCAGAAGACCACTCACTAGTATAGCCTGTGGTCTCCTTGCAGCTGATTGTTTCCCTATTTCTGACTTACTAAGCTTCTGTATGGCTGTGGCCATCTTAGTAGTGGCAGGGCTTTCTCTTCTCTCCGGCAAGGAGAACAGTGAGCAGCACAATAATGACATCACCTAATCTCACTCCCGAGACCAACACTCAGAGGAAGCAGTTGACCTTTTGTAAGTGAATCTTTTACCTTGCCCTGAATACAAAACAGAGGTTCACTTTAATACTATGACTACCTGACATCAGGGTATACCGTCACCATTTATGTAAAACACAAGCTGATTAAAGGAGAACTATGAGGCGAGTGATTTTCACTCAACCTCATAGTTTGAGCTGACGTGTAACAATGAAACTGTCACACGCCGGCTCAATAGATCGGGAAGTGAGCGAACACATACCGTCGCTCGCTCACTTCTCGATCATATCCCTGCAGAAAGCCGTGACTGTCACTCACGGCTCCTTGCAGGTATTCCCCCTCCCCGCTCCGATCCTCCAGCGCTGACTGGCGGAACGGACAGAGGAGGGGGTGGGTATAGCTGGCTCTGCCTCTAGATAGGCAGAACCAGCTGTCACTCACGCAGCTGGGTGGATCTCGACAGTAATGTTAGGATCCGTCCCGACTGCAGCAGTCTCAGTATACTGTGAGCTGGAGCTCGCGATATACTGAGCTTTGGGTGAAGGGAGGACGCTAGTATATGTCCTCATGTGACCCTTAGGAGAACTATGGGGAAAAACACTTACCTCATAGTTCTCCTTTAATGCAGAAGAATCTTGTATCATTTACAAAAGTAAAAATGTAAAAAGTACAAAATGTCAAGTTGCTAAAATTATCAGACTTTGCCCTCCTAGCGCAGCTTTAAATCCATTCAGAAACGTATTGTTTTCCTTTGTACTGGACTAATGAAAGTAATCTGTGTTGAATGAGATTCCCTTTATATGATGTTATAAGCCTCGACGACTGGCTCGTAGATAACAACACTTACTTCTATCTGTCATATTTTGAAGCAGAGAAATATTGTATGGATATACTTTAACATCATTTGCACATATATTGCATTGAGATGTTTTAATATTCACAAAAATAAGAAATGTCATTTCATTTTTTTTCCCCTTTCAAATTAAAATTAATCTGAACATCCATTAACTTTCTAGACGATACATTACTCCTGTTCTTCCTTGGCCGGCAGCTGGACTGATAATTTTAGGGATTCAGTTGTATATATGTTGATAAAGTTAATAATTATCCACATTGTTTGGTATAACTGATATCTTTCCCAATATTTCAATTGTAAGCTTTCTGATGAAGGGAACTGCATTGTCCACAACAACCAATCAGATTTGACCTTCCTTATGGAAACATGAAAGTCAGAATCTTATTGGTGCTATGGGTACCAATAACAGTTCCTCACTCGGGCACTTGGATAAGCAAGGAACGCTGTCATTTTGCGTTTTTTTTAAAGGTAGACTATGTTGATTTTGGGTCAGTTTTTAATTTTGTAAAACTGATGTTTCTAAACTGCCTTTAACTTTATATTTGTATGCAATGTTTGTTTGATACATAAACGTTTAATATATGACAGCTGTCTTTGTCTGATTAAAACTTTGGACTCTAATAAGCCATCTGATAAGGGATAAGTGACTACTCTAATGACGCATTGAGCTCTATAAGCAATGGACTTCTTCAAGCTAACAATGTACCGCTTTTGGATGCTAAAATCATGAATAATCATACCGCCAGGGAGGTTAAAGAAGCAATCCGTTTGTTTGGGCAAGGCAAAGGAGGACTAGGCCTCCACCTGCGGGCTCAAAAGGAAAATGCAAAGTATTAAAATGCAATATTTCATACTTATCTGACTAAAAAAAGAAAAACAAGTTTTTGTTTCCATCAAACCATAATGAATTAAAAGAAAATATAATAACAATACACATTCCAAGAGAATCTATCACAAAGCATAATACCTGTAAATGAAGCCGTAGACTAAAGGTCTGTGTTGACAGCCTTTTGTTCACTTCAGACAGGTTTTTCTTTCCCATACAAGTCTATAGGGTTGCAAAACCTACTAGAAGCAGGTCAAATAAAAGGTAAGAAGCAGGTTAACTACAGCTCAAAGGCACCAGTCAATGAATTCTGAATGATTTTCAGAAGCGTCTCAAACTGAATGTCACAAGCCCAATCCCATTGATACAGGCCCCAATGTTACCAGTCTTCAGCTCCTAAGCCGCCCACAACTAATGGAGCTATGAGGCCGAATCCACTCAGCTTCCCTATGAGTAATGTCAGTGTGCCAGAACTAGTATGCAACCCACTTGTCTGATAAAATCAGATATCTGGAAAACGCACTTTAGCTTGTGAATGCGTGCGTACCGCAACATTTATGTGCAATAACGCACGTACATGAGCGTGCGGAAGCGCGCTTGTTGGAGCACAGGTGAACGATCATTAGGGTGCACACTATCATATATAAACAGACATGAAGTCATGACCAAGTTGCTGAGTGCCCTGTACTTTGTTCCTGTAACCTGACTTCCTGTGTGTGAAGCCGGCTTGTGACCAATTGACTCCGCCTCCTCCCCCTGATTGAGTACCTCTGATATCCTGTGTATGACCCTGGCTTACGTTTCCTGACCCTGCTCCTGATCTGTGATTCACTCCATCAGCATCCTGAGCAACAACATCCAGCCAGTGCTCCATTGGCCTCATACCTGTTGCCTGCTCTGGTTTCAAGATGTCCCGGTGTCATCCCAGTCCTACTGATGACACCAACTGGTCCAACGCACTCAAGTGCCTCCTCAAGAACCACCCAGCCACCAGTATCGGCACCTCTGCTCCCCTCTGACAATACATCCCCTGTTACTTCTTCTAGAGGTGTGAGCAAGAGGTGCATGGGCAGCCCCCTTCTCAGCTGAGCCTCCAGTCAGGTACGTGGCTACACACACAGGCTCCAGTGCTGTTATCCTAACTCTTGTTTCACCACCTAGTGTATGACTAACCTTGAACAAGAATGGAGGCAGTGAAGTCCGGAATCAAGACCTATCCAGGCAGTCATCAAAATCATCAATTGGGACCACAATATTAGGAACAAACTGTTTAATCAGAAAACTGTATTGAGAACCCAAGGACATAACAAGGGGTTAGAAGAGGTGGGGTTCAATCTTAGAATTCGCAAGGGATACTTCACTGTAAGAGTAGTGAAAGTTTAGATTTCCCTCCCACAGGCGGTGGTATCTGCGGATAACATTGATAAATCCAAGAAACTTCTGGTTGAGTTTCTTCTCTCGCAGAATCTACAGGGATATGGGAAATTGTCGAGTAAGATAAATACACGCACACACATACATAGGTTGAACTGAATGGACTGTGGTCTTTATTCAACCTTCAATACTATGTTACTATGTTCTTAATTGTTTGGGGTCAGCATGAATTCAGTAGTGAAGCAAAGATAAGGACTACAGCCCCGGCACCTGGCGCCTTTAAAAACAAGTCATCAACTCCCCCATTTCTGTCTTTGCGGCTTCGCTTGAACAATAAGTTGGTTACAAAAATTCCCAAATGTTTTTCAGCTGCTGCAGTCACAAGTGCTGCTTTTTCGACACAACACTTGCAATCATTTGTATAGTCTATGACACAGGATACCAAAAACCTATTTGGGATAACTGCAGGCAATGATCTTGTTTATCATCACCCTGCCTTCTGCAGCTGTTAAAACTAACCATATTGTAGCACAACACAAATTTCAATTAGCACAGGGGACAGGGACCGTGAAATCCTTCAAAATTCAATCTTGACGCAGTCATCATTATCCAGGCATGAAGTAGAAAGAGTTTATGTATCTCCGGTTACCGAATGAGACCCTCCTTTTTTTGTACTTTACTCCTCACACTTGTGACTTGAGGAGGTGACAGGTCTAAATTTAAACATACTTCACTTGCAGAACTGTTTGTACATGATCTGTATTTCAGCAGAAGAGCTTCTAAACTCTCCGACTACAATGTCATCACCATAGCAATAACATACTCAAGGGCTTGTATAATGATTATTGCTAAATGATAATGTGCACAACTGCGCGCTGTAAAACCGTGATTCAGAACTGCAGCACTCCAACGCTAGTGTCACAGCCCTCAATAACCTTTGCTTTACTCCAATCACATTGAGGTTTTTAATTAAGCTCATCATGGCTCCCGTCCGTCATTGAGATAATAACCACTTATAATGTGTCCCTTGTGTGCCCTGGTGCATTAAGCAGGTCCTATCAAGCAAAA